GTGTGGTTGGTGTAGATTCATGAAGATTCGTTTTGGGTGTTTGGGCGTTATGCGTGACTTGATGCCGTGATGGAATGACGAGCTCAAGCACGCCCCCGATTAATATAACACGGATACAACACGTTTTCCAACACGTCTGCACGACTTTCCCTACTCCTACGGCCCGTCATGGCCGAGCTGCTCTACACTCCCATCACACACAACTGAGCCACCCGAATTATCGATCAGAAGCATCGCCCCCCGCGCCCCCAGTGGGCGGGGGGGGGATAAGGTGTGACAGATGTCGAGACGTGTGCTGCGAGGCCATGGTCGATGCTGTCCATTTGCTACGTTGTACTGCAGTACGGTAGTTCGGGACCACCTCTCGACCATTTCATTTCGTGGGCAGACTAGACTAATCTAGTAGAATATGCAATAGAACTTCGTACTGAAAGCATTTTTTGTCCCGCACGCCGAAGACGGGCTTCACATATATGTCCACATCCTCCATTCGGTACGGCAATAGTCGATCCATCTACTTATTTCGTGCAAGATTTTTGACGATAGCAACGATTGTAACTTGATGAAGTAAATACTGCTGCAAAAAATAGAAAGAGATGACCAGAGAAACGAAAAAGAACTGCAGACTACAAACAGTACATAAACCCATTTACAATATAGTTCGAGTACATAACACCGTGGCCCACATGGAAGGAAGCGAACGAAGAGTAAGTTTTTTGTGTGCATGAACTACAACACCACATGTAGCTACACCTATCAACCATGTACTCCGAGTAGTGAGGACTGTGGGATATCTCTGATGGACATACAAGCGAACAACGTAGAAAGCTCTGGATAAACGCTGCGGACGTGGACATGCGGCAAAAGAGGGGGGAAAAGGAGTGTTTGCGGCCTACGCCACTTATTTATCGGGTGAGACTGTTTTGGTGATGTATTCCCTTTGTATGTGCGTGTGTAAGTATAAGAAGATACGAATATCCTGGCCTCCACAGTAGCTGTCTTTTATTTTTGTGTCTCATATATGTTATGTTGTGGAATTTCATGTCGTTAAATGTGAGAAGGGCATGGGAGAACATTTCTCATCATTGCCTCCAGATGACGTGGTCGCCGATAGAGGCGTGTGGTTGATGAGGTTTCATAACCGACATGTGGGTGTGTGTTAAATGAAGTGGGTGTGTTCACCTCTCTCGTCCGTGTGTAGGTAGGAGGTATGGCTACCTCTCCCATTTGTAGGCAGCGTGGACCATACTTGTAAATATAGTCTAGACAGAGTTCATCATTTCATGCATGTTACATCATTTGTGTTTGACAAGGGAGGAGTGAGAGGTTGTGCGTATGGGTACGGGGGTACTCCCTGTGTCCGTGTCTATGGTCTATGACGTATATATGTCTACACATATAGTCTATACGTCATAGACCATAGGTCCGTGTTGTTCCCAGATGTTGCCGCATCTCCGCGTGGCGTGTTCTTCGAAACGGAACGTTTCATTGGACCCCTTCGGACCCCCTAATAATCGGAAGGGAGTACCATTCGCGAGGACCCTTCCATTGAACTGCAAGCAGAGTGCGGCGGCCAACAGGGTAGCGCTCCAGATATTGCCGACTACTGCAATAGGGTTGGGAAGAGACAGAGGGTCAGGGAATATGTCTTCCCTAGCTTCGTCAGGATCTGGAGGGGGACGCTCAGGGGGATCTTCGAGTTCTTCGAGAAGTCATTCGCAGGTGTGCGCGGCCACTGCTGTAGGTTGTTATCACCCCCCCCTTACCCTCTCCTTGCTCTGCTGTTGTTGACATTGTCGTTGGCGCCGCCATCTGATAGCGAATATCACGAACGAGGCAGACGATGAGAGGCAGGACGGCTGCACATCTTCTGGTGGCTGCTGTATCCGTGACAAACGGTCGACGAACGTGTTTGTTTTTTGAAGATGGGTTCGCGCAGCAGCAGAAGGACGCGAGAACAAGCTCTTCCTTCTGTCCTGTTTGTTGCCTGCTCTCGTCGCCCTAGAGTACAACAACTACAGTAGCCCGCGTGTTCATTGCTGCAAAGGGCCTACCATGTATGTATTATAGTAACTTCCGATATTGCGAGCGTACCTGAGTCGCGTGGCGATGTGGATGGAGCAACCAGGCTATGGCGAGCTTAACGCCGCACCCTTTGGCAGCTGCAGTGGCTGCTCTGCCTGCGAGAGGGGCGCCCAAGGTCCCGAAACGCGTTTCTTTATTACTTCGTAGAAAGTAGACATAGCCTGACAGAAAGGCTACCCGTTCGAGATATAACCTCAGTCGAAAGGGATGTGCGTTTATTTGTATCTACCTGCTTGAATCGTTCATGCTTTCAATGTACTTCGTAGACCTACTGCTCTACCCGATCGTGTTCAGGGGCGGTGTCTTACGACTGTGGGAGTTCGCACCTTTGGAAGTTGTAGCATTGCGGGATTGTGGGACGCAGCAAGACCGCGGTCCTTGCAGCAATACACTACTACTTCCTTGGACGATTCTCCTCTGTTCAATCCCCATGAAGACTTCTCATGGTCAGCCGGCTAATTCGCCCGGTCGATTCCAATTCGAGAGCACACGCACAGGCATCGGTCTCGTAACCACTTTTGTGCTGTCCTCCTGTTTTCATCTGCGCGCAGCTGTGCATCGCTTGGCTCTGCCTGGCTGCTTCTCTGCCTGCCTGCCTGTCCGTCTGAGTACACTGTACTTGTTTCTTCCTCTCAGCCGCTGTCCCCCTTTTCGTGTCTTCGTCCGTATCCTCGCCTTTTTGCGCCGGTTCGCCTTTGGGGGATGCCCGCCAGGGGGACAAGCATGACCGACGCCGCAGGGAGAAGGACCGAGAGAGGGTAGAGAAGGAGCGGGTCCGGAAGGAGCACGCCAGAAAGGTAGGCAGTATCGTAGAGAGGGTAACACCCCGTTGTGAGGATTTTTCGTGTGTGTGTGGAGGGGGGGGGGCTGAGGCAAGCGGTCGTGGGGGGGGTGGGTCAACGACGACCGCTGTCGTTATCGTGGGTATTGGATGAGTTGGATTGCACGGGACAAGTGGGTGGAGAAGATCCGTGCAAAAACGGAGCGCTCTGGAAACGCAGCAAGGAGAGCCCTTCGGTGCCTTCCATCATCTCGATGCCTTGGACGTTCTTTTACTCAGTCTTGGAGCAACATTCTTTAGATGCTGTGCTTCATGTCGCTAAGCGCTGAGGGCAACGAAGGAAGGTCGCGAACTTCCGCTGCGCAAAGCTCTGTTTTGTTGCGCGGCAGAGTTCTTCTGGGGGTGACATCGGATCGGATCTTGTTTCCCGTTGCGGAGCAGGCAAGACCTTTCCCTTGTTGGGGTGGTAACACGCGCACTACAGCGAAGAGGGTGCTCGTTAGCCTGCGCCCCCCGCCGCCTATCGTTTACTCCGTTGCACCTGCCCGTCGGCCGTGTGTGTCTTTTTCGCCCTCTTCCTTTGTCGCTGTGCATGTTCCAATGCGAACAAGAGCTGAGAGAACGATTACACACACCACACCCCGTACATGCGATAAATCAATCAGGTCCTCGAAGACCAAAAGATCAACAAGGCGAGGAGGAAGTGGCAGAAGCAGACGGAGTTCCTGTGCACGATAAAGTTCCGCAACAGCCTCCCGGACCCGCCGTTGGGCCCCCACTTTCTCGACGTCCCCCTAGACCTTCAGAGCTACGTCAAGTACAAGCCCACCACTCTGGAGAGCGACTACAAGTGGAAGGTACAAGCACCTCGGTAGACATACGTTTGAAGCAGAGCGTCGGGCATCGTTCGACCGTCCTATTTTGTGAGACATGTTTTCGTTTTTTACGATACAACGGCTTTGCCCTCCAATCTCGTTCTTGTTTTATCTCGTGTTTTGATCCCGATAGAGGAATGAGGGTAATTTTCTGTGTGAACATCGGACCTGAGCACCAAGTGTGTTGGAGGACGCGAAACCATAGCAAACCATTGGAAATGTGCTCTGAGATCGGCGGTACTACAGTTGTAATCCGGGAAAGCTTCCTGAAAACACTCACGGGGGTGGCGGCTTCTACTCTTGGCGTTGCTTATGGCATGTGGTGACGGGGGGCCCGCGGTTGGGACACACACGGGCAGCTGCACTACGAGCGGGACCTCGGAGTCCCCATCGACGTGATTGATCCGCGAAATTACCTGCTGCCGAAGAAGGCGGTCCCGCTGCCGCCGGAGGACGAGGCGCTGCTCAATTGGCGAGAGGGAGATGGACCCGGCTCTGGTATGATGCAGATCGCATATGCACAGCAGTACGGTCAGTTTTTTGTTTGTTTAATAATCAGGGAATGATCGACCATTTGCGCATTTTCCGTCGCCCGCCCGCGGTGGTCGCTGCTGCGTTTGTATGGTTGGCGATAGTAGTGGCGGCGTCGAGTGGGTGTATGTATTCCTGAACGTATCAGTGCACGGGGCATGCAGAGAGTTTCCGTAGATTGAAGAGCTATACCTGCTGTACTACTATTCTCTGTCCTATGTACCGGGATTTGCTTCAGTCCTTTGTCTTCCTTCCTTGGAGTCGGTTGTTCATCTGCTTATCCTGTCGCGCAGTTTATATTTTTTTATCTAAATATGGCCCACCGATCCCCATCTGTCTGAGAGTTTTAAGTAGAGTGGCAACTAGTCCATAGCGTCGGCGAAGGCTACGTGTATTTCCACGATTTCCCGAGCAGCACACAGCGACATGTCCCGCGTGGATAACAGGGTCAACAAGACAGTTTGATCATCTTGTGCATCAATCTGTATGTTATCTGTTGTTTTTTTGTTTTTTGTTCTTTTGCGGCCAGAAAACCACGTCCATTCTTGTGCTTAGGGGTTGGTCGTTCATGTCTGGTGTCCTCGATTCGTTGTTTTGCTGTGTTGCTGTTCTTTCGGGACCATTTGTCATGCCTTGTGCGCCCGATTCGTTGTTGTTACTCTGTTGCTGTTCCGTTGGCGCCGTTAATCATGCCGTGCGCGCTCGAATTGTTGTTACTGTTGTTGCTTCGCCACAGTCGGTCATGTCTTTTGTGCTCGGTTCGTTGTTGTTGTTTTGCCATGACCATCACCATCAACAGTGAAGAAGGAGGACCTGTCGACCTCGGCCCGCCGCAAGACGGTGGACACGTCGGTCACCTGGCTCAAGAAGACTGTGTACCTCACCAACGACCCCTTCGACCCCGTGCACCAGTTCAAGTCGGAGCAGCAGGCACAGGTAAAGACACCGCAGCCACCTTGTGTTTTGACCCGTCCACCCGTAGAACCGGAGACCTTATATATACGCCCAGCTCTGCCATCCTCATGCCATACGTCTTGCCCGAAAACGAAGACTGATTGTTGTGTTTGTGTGGGGTACGTTGGCTGGGTGCTTCGGAGTGACAAAAGTTGTCGTGGTAACTCTGTCGTGTTTACTTTCCTGAAATACAGTTAAATACGTCCTTGCCCAAAAACGAAGATTGTTACGATTGTGTTGGGTAAGTTGACTTGCTGATGTTTGGGAGTGACAAAAGTTGTGGTGACCTTTTTTTTTTTTCACGATGGCAGGCGGACAAGGAGATTGAGCTGGAGAAGGAAATCGCGCGGGGGAAGAAGCAAGATCGGAAGGTGCTCATCGAGGAGTCGTTCCTGCATGCCAACAGCAACAAGCCGGTGCGTGTCTGTAGCCTGCTCACGCCCTTGAAGTTGCTGTTCGTCCATCCCTGTTGTGAGCTAGGTACGTGTGTTCGGTTCTCAACTTGAAACCCGTCCGAATTTCGACCGCCACATTGGTACTTGTCTTTGACTTGAACGGGTGGAGCGCGCGTTAACCCTTGCGTGACTGGGTCCATTTGACTTGTTTTTCCCGACTCACTCAGGAAATCAACCCCACGGTATCGCTATCGCAAAAAATGGATAATAATATCGGCAAATTTTACAGTTCCGTATTAAAGACAGATAGGGGTTATCGTGCATGATATCGTGCATGTAGTCCCGAAAACCTTTTCCCTTGAGCGAAAATGGCACACAGCACACGAACCTCTTTTCACTCCCAATATTCTGGACCACACACACCGCAGTCATGACTACATCAGGCACCGAGGCAGTACGTTAGCTTCGGCTCCAGTGTGCGTTATCTCTGCTCTCCATCGCTCAAGCGGGACCCCGGGCTGATCACATGTTGAGGTGCTGGATGTACCCTCCCGTGGTGTTTTCCGTTTTGATCTTACAGCAGTAGGCAGTAGATTGGATCTGGAAAGAAAGGGATCATTTGCCCCACATCAGAGGCATTTTTGCTGTACAAATGGCAAAACTGCGTAGACCCCTCCGCACATTGCTCATGTGCGTTCTTGTGTGGTGGGCTGCCTCTTGGTCTCACGGCTGACCTTTTCGGCGCGTGTTTTTTTCTCTTCGGCGAGGCACGTCAGCGATCTTTCGGCACACAAAGTATCGTGCAGCTATGGTGCATGTGGTCCACACAAGGGTCAAATATGATACGCCGATAGTCATGCTGTCACTGTCCTGTCACCAACGATGCACAAAGTTCTTCGTTGTCACGCCCACGACAATTATCACCGTCAGTGCTGCTGAATGTAGCGCCCGCGTATTCCACTCCCACTGTGCCTTTGGCCGCATGCGTGCTTTTTTTTATTGTTTGTCATCAGCTGGTGCACCAGGACGCCAGCAAGAGACACCTCACGGCCGAGTGGGTGATGCCGGTGATGCCGGACGTGTCCCTGTGGCCAAACACCTACACGACCGTGGTGTTCGACAAGGACCCCGCGGCGGACGAGACTGTAAAGGGGTCGGAGGTAGTTTTAACACGAGATGAAGAGAGTGATGATTCTGTATCGGTGCTTGGCCGCCCTGCTAGATGCCAGGCAATGAGGATGGCATCTTCAACCTGCCGTTCGATCTGCTACCTTTCTCAACAAGTAGCACTAACACTGTGCAGCAGTAGTTTTTTGGTCATTGGTGGCGCTGCACTAAGTTTTGTTGTTGGTTTTGGGGAGGAGCATGTTCGCGCCTCTGCGTTTTTAGTCAGGGCGCCATATCTGCTTGCATTCACCCTCACCCTGCCGGCTAATCTGCAAGTGTTTGTGTGCGTGTGGTTTCTGCTGCTTTGCCTCGCTTTTCTGCATGTTTCGTGTGTGTATGTTTCCCGCGCTTTGCCTTGCTTATCTGCGTGTTTCGAGTTTATGCTTCCCCGGCTTTGTCTTGCATTGGCTGTCACCCTGCCGGCTTATTCTGCACATTTTGTGTATGTTTCCTCTGCTTTGCGGCTTGTGTTGTTCAGGCTCGCAAGCGGAAACGGGCGGGCGAGGCTTTGGTGTGCAACGTGAAGCGAACCACCTTCGAGGGAAACTCGCACGAGGTGAGCTGCTGGTGCTGGTGCTGGTGCTGGTGCTGCTGTTGCTGGTGCTGTTGCTGGTGCTGTTGCTGGTGCTGTTCTCACTTCCACCTACAGTCGTTGTTCAACTGTGTAAGCCGTTGTGGGAAATAATTTGTCTTGAGTGTCGCCGCGGTTCGCCCCAGCCATATCGCGCAGGCCGCAATGTTTTATTTTGCGCAGTCGAACGGGTGGGTACACGTTGAAGATGACATGACCGATCGGAAAGCCAACCACTCTTGAGAAGCGGGACCCCCCCTAACAACACGGACCTGTTTCATCTGCACGTCCCCCTTCCGCTCCCCATTACACCGCGTGGGGTATGGCGGGCGTTGGTGACCCTCCGTGTAGGTGATTACGGGGTCGTACCTCATGCCGAAAGACAAGGCAACGAAGAAGGGAGAGGGGGAGGAGGAGGAGGAGAAGATGGACGTGGAGGATGGGAGCGTCGGGTACGACTTCGTCAAGGACTACAAGTTCAACATCGTGCATTACGTGAGTTTTTGCCTTGCCGGGGGGGGGTGAGGGTCGTCGATGCGCTTGGCTATTCTTGAGACAAAGATGACCGCTGGAAACGTTTTGTATTGGCAGTATGTGATTGTTGTGCGGTTTGTCCGGGGGAGAGTTTATCGTTGTGCGGAGCTATTCTTGAGACTAAGGACGACTGCTGGCAACATTCTTGTATTCGAACACGAGGTGGAGGCAGTCGTTGGGGTTGCACCTCGTATGGCTTCACGCAACATAGTACAGAATCCTAGGGTTGGGGGTATGTGATTGTTACTGGAAACAGCCCTTGGTTGTGGGCAAGCCGTTCGTGCGTTGCCCACCCCCACACGCAGCAAGAAATATGTTGTAAATTGAATTCCAACTTATGGCCGATGAAAAACAATCAGGAGTGCCGAGTCTAGGAACTCCGTTTTACTGAAACGGCAGACAGCACTCGAAGGACCTCCTCTGGTACCACCTGTTCGTCGTATTTGCGCGTGTTTCAGCCGCTGTTAGGGTTGTGTTCTCCGTTGCCCCCCCCCCCCCAAGTATCACCTCTCTATGTTTGCTGTATTTTGACTCTCTCTACCCCTTTCCGCTTCCGCTTGCCGCTACGACTGCTGTCAAACTCTTTTTCGCGCTTGGCTTCTTCCTGGTGCCGGCCTGCTGATGCGTTGGTGTGTCGTCTGGTCGCACGCTCGATGGCGCCACACAATGACTGTGTACCCGCCCCCCGCCCCCAGGCGCAAACGCAATACGATGGGAACCCGCACCTCCTGTTCGTCATCAACAAAGACACCCAGGAGGCCAGCTTCTGCAAGCTTTCCGCCAAGGTACTGCACACAAATATTGCCGCAAGGTACTGCACATTGTGTTTTCACTATTTTTCACCGACGCGCTAAAAGGCTGACCACTGAACAGATGTCAGTGCCAGTGTATGTCTCTGCGGTGATGTTGTGCCGCCACCCCAGGCGATTTTGTTCCCGCCGCCTATGACATTTTCCCCGATGGACTCCGCTGCCGGCCGTCGTCACCGCCCTGCGCTCTTGCCAAGGAATCGTGCCACCTCGTACTCCGTCCAAGAATCCGTTCTTTGTTTTTGTGTGTGTGGCGACACAATGCACCCGTACACGTGCTCATGCAACGAGCTGCTGCTGCTGCTATTGCTGTTGCTTGCCGTTGTCGCCACCGGGGCAACGGCATTCCACGAACCAGGTCGAGCTTGCAAACCTTCCGCGGGGACAGGGACAACCCGCGACGGGACGGGGTGCTGTGGTGGTGAGCTATTGAAGTGTAGAATCTAGCGATCCTACCGGGGAAATGGCGTAATTGTTAATTGTTTCTGTCGTTGTTGTTCGCCAGTCCTGTCTTCCTGTCAAGCCTCATCGCCATTCTGTTGCGAGTAGGTTCGCTTTGTGCCAGATCAATCACGGCCACACACCCCCTAGTGCTTCTGGCGGACCTCGATGAAACTCCACCTTGAACCCTGCGAAAAAGTACGCTCGTGACGATAGTCGCTTGTCCAGCTACTTCCTGTATCCGTACTAGACCCGAGTTATTTTTGGGCCACGCTATGCTCATTTAACGCTACCACCTTCGTTATGTCAGCCAAGTCTCATACCTATATGGTCGATGGTTGCTTGAACACGGCTTTGGAAGAAGGTTTTCGATAATCTAGCTTGTGCCCTGCCGTGGTTGAAGATCGTGACCACGGGAACTGGCTTAGTTTTCCCTTGGCGAAGAGCAGCATGAAAGAAGAGATACTGAGGATGACCAGAAACGGTTTTGCGATGCGAAGGCGACAACAATTAGGGTAGTACGGTTTGCCGCCGAAATGTCGAATCGACTCCTCTCCACGGCCAAGCAGGTTGCGTACTACCCTCCTATCAATTCAAGCCCTACCGTTCGAACCACCGTTCGACCTTCGTCCATGTAGGTTTTGAATTGATGGGAAGGCAAGCAAAGGGTTTCAATGTAGTAGTGGTTGTGGGTCACCCCCAGAACGAGCGCGGATGCTTTGCCAATGGTCAAGCACAGCTTGAGGGAGGCATCATGACCCCCTTCCCTCACACATGCCAACCATGACACTAAACGTTTGTTTATTCTCGCGCCCTGATTGGCCAGTCGAAGCGAAACCTGTCGCCAGAGGAAGTGAGCAACGCTCGCAAGAAGGTGTCGGCCGACTTGCAGCTGGAAGGGGATTACTACATCGCCGGGGAAGACGGCCTCAGCAATGGGGGCCACGCGGCTAGGGGCGACACGAGGGAGGAGGGGGACGAGGGCGGCGGTGGTGGCGGGTGGAGTGGTGGCGGTGGAGAGAACGGCCATGCTATTGGCTCGGTGAGAAGGAAGCCAAATAGTTGCTCCGGGTTGGTAAATATAGGGCCTTGCACGTCGGGACCTTTGTGCTAGTGGTCGGCGCTGGCTAGAACAATGACACGGAGGTAAATCGAGTTGTAGAGCAGTTTTTTTGTGCTTTGGATGTGGTGTGGCGGGCGGTGTTGTGTGTTTGGTCGTGAGGTGGTGGTGGTAGTGGGGAGGGGGGTGACTGGGGATGTTGTCACTGTCGCCAAGGACGTTGCCTCTTCATATGGCTCTCCGATGCAGTGTACATCTCTCGCCTGTCAGACAACACAGCATTTGCGGATTCGGGTACGCCATAGCCAGAGGCCAGAGCCGAAAGGTTTTTTCCTTGGTTCGTCCAGGGTTGGTCAGACGGAACAACCTGGGTGGGTGTGCGGTGAGTGTGCTGTGTCATTTCGCACCCGTTTACCTCTTGTGTCGGCGGAATGTGGTATCCAACAAGCCAGTTAGCTGGTGTTGTTGCTGCTGCTTTTGGTTCTGCCGTTCCCGCTATTGTTGTGGGCCATGCCTTGAAGATGACGGAGTAACAAGCGAGACGTTTTTTTTTGCCGTCTAGTGTTGGAGACTGTCCTTCAAGTGGTTCTCCGAATTGCCCCGAACGCAAAACCCGCGGTGCTTGTGCTGTTTACGGTGTTGTTGGCTTCTATTCTGCAGGAGGCTGGTCTGAACGGCCACAGCGATGAGAGCAGGGCGTGGAACGGGACGTCCGACGTTGATCGGGAGTCGGTGCTAAGCATGGCGATGGAGTCGGAGGCGTCAAACGTGGCAGTCAAGGTAGCGCCAAGTTTTAGGGAAAATACATGAAAACACAGAAAGACTACTCCTTCGAGATATAACCACAGTCGAAGGGGATGTGTTAAGTCTTTGCAGTGAGTGGAGGAAACCGGTTGGGCACTGGGCTAGTTTTGAGTCTGTCTTAAGCTTGTACACTGATGATTGATAGCAGTGATACCAGCTGGTGCTAAGCACAAAAACAAGTTTTCCCACGTCTCCATGTTGTCGTTGTTGGTGTCGTTTTCCCCGTTTGCTTTGTGAATTGTTGCTTGGTTTTGCATTCACTCATTGTGGCCCCCTTTCGCACTCACCTCCTCGTTCTCCGCCTCCGACTCTTTGTCGTTCATCCTTGCTTTGCGGCGCGGCGAAAAAAGGGAACGGAAAGCTCCGAGGGCGACATCGCGGGCGCCCACACGGATGACGACGAGGACTCCGAACCGTGACCCAACTCAGACCAACCTTTGTGTGCGGGCTCCTTCCTACCAATAAGAGTAAAAGGAGGAACCTTGCGATCAAGCGGAAGAAGGGTGAGGCAATGAACACGCTGTTTCCCTCAATGGTGGAAACAGGACCCACGAGACCGCGGAGTTTCCCCCTGTGCTTGCGTGCTGCTTTCGGATCCGCTGCCGCTGCACGTGTGTTTGCGTTTTTGCTGCTAGAAGATGGGTGTACATCCCGGCCCGAGTGAGGGCTCCGGTCGTGGTGTCCACGCCGGCTAAATAGCACGCTGTGGCAGTAGACAGAGTGATCAGACAGCTTGACCGCTCCTCAGCTGAGAACCGGAAAGCACACCAACACGACGAGACGCCGCCCCAGTATGCAATCAAGGAGTATCAAGCAATGAACTGGCCACGGATCCCCCCCCCCCCCCCCCCC